GCGATCCGCGCTGGCTGTACCAGGTAGACGCGGCATGTTAGAGGGCCCCCTGCTGGAGCCTCCCGAGCACCTCCTTGAGGCTGCACAATTCACAGAGCTCCCTGGGCGGAGGGTGGGCGGCCGGGTGCAGGTGGCAGCGGCAGGGAGGTCAAGGTGCCGTTCGCGGTGGCATCAGAGAGGCCCGGGGGGCAATTGCCACCCTGCCCCCCGGCCCAGTCCGCCCCTGTCCAGTACCAATGTATTCAGTCTGGAGCAACATATAGGGATTTTATATGTGTAGAATGTGGCTAATCCAGGACTGAACAAATCCCAGGAGCCAAGTAGGCAATGCTTCTTAACAATTACAGCTGGTGCCTACCTTTTGAGGGTTTTTCTAGTTGTGGTCAATTTGGCTAGCTCCTTGGTTTAAAGGAGAACTATGGGGTCAGTGTTCTACCCCATAGTTCTCCTTAGGGTAACGGGAGGACGCTAGTTTGTGTCCTCCCGTTACCCTAAGGAGAACTATGGGGGAAAACACTGACCCCATAGTTCTCCTTAGGGTAACGGGAGGACGCTAGTTTGTGTCCTCCCGTTACCCTAAGGAGAACTATGGGGGAAAACACTGACCCCATAGTTCTCCTTAGGGTAACGGGAGGACGCTAGTTTGTGTCCTCCCGTTACCCTAAGGAGAACTATGGGGGAAAACACTGACCCCATAGTTCTCCTTAGGGTAACGGGAGGACGCTAGTTTGTGTCCTCCCGTTACCCTAAGGAGAACTATGGGGTAAAACACTGACCCCATAGTTCTCCTTTAAACAGACTGGCTCCTGGCCTAATGTTTGATAGATAATAATATCACAGTGCAATCATTTATTATACCCCTATATCACCTCATTGCAATCCTATAAGTAGAGCTGCTCAACATGGATTATTTTAATTCACAGGCAACTGTTAATTAGTAACTTGCTTGGTCACAAGATGACTTCCACAAACAATGGAACAGATACAGATACTCCTCTAAGTTTGGTAGAGAGGGGCCAGGGTTGTCAACCAAAAATAAGCGTTCTTTATGGACAGAAGTCCAAAGAATTACAGACGCCCTCCACTATTTAAATAGTAGTTGTCCATAATGAATGCACTTTTTAGATATATCTACTTTGCAACAGTAATGCTATTAGTAGCTTTTAGTAATGGTATTTTGTATTACCATCTGCAGTAGAACTCCAGCCAGCATTGCATATATTTTTTACATATATATACCATAATCACCCTAATCTTTTTATTAGCATCCTGCAATACCTGTACCGTAGACAGGAAAAGGGAAGGACAGACACTTGCTGCATTGTAAGGTGCTGTCTGACCACCTTTACAGAACGTATTTATTCAATAGGAGAGCAGAGGGTCGACCTCATCAGTATGCTAGAGCTCTTTCACTGTCCAGCCAGCAGGCTTAAGGAGGCGGGTGAGTGATGATCAAGCTGTATTATTTAATCGCAGTGAAGAAAAGTGAGGTCTGCCAGTCCGGGTGCATTTGGCTGAGTTGGGCAAGGAATACCTGGCCAAATAAATCTCTTCTACTAAATGATTAACTGTTTGTTGACAACTATCTTAGAAGTTTACATTGATTTAAATGTGTAGCAAATAAGATGACTGCCAATAAATGGTTACATTTCTTGATGGTGGAGAGGTTGAACCCTTAGCCTTTGTCTGTTCTAGTCATTGGCCTTTTTTTGCCAGCATTTGGCTTAGTTCCTTCTGCCCCAGTGAATTTTGATATGACCTGTACTGCCTGTGGCTTCTAGTTTTGTTGTTCTCTCGTCAATGGCTAAGACTTTAGCTTCTGTCTATTTGTCTTTTACTGACTCCTGTTACGCCTAGCCTAGGTGCAGATCTGCCTGGGTAGCTGGCTGTCTATCTGCTATGTATTGGCACTCTGTAAGCTCCTGCCTGTCTGCAGTTGCTGGCTATGTACTCCCAGGGGATGCAGCATGGGTGTTGTTTTTCTGCAAAATTCCACCTGCACCATCATTGTCTCTGGAGAAGACCAGACACTTCCATTCCCAGCACCTCAGGGAAAGCCATCTACCATTAGCTAGCAATACAGCAATTTCCTGTTAATGTGCTTTGATTCTGAACCAATACTCCAGTCCCTACCTTGTATCTCATGCTGCGCCTACATTCCAACCCTTGTCTATCTGCCCAGATGCTGTTCCAGCTCTCCAATTATTGTGTGTACTGATCTCAGACCTCTGTTCTTGCACAAGCACACCATATAACCCCTGTGCTCCTTTGTCCTGATCTCTTCAACAATGGGTCACACATTCGCAGGAGCTGCCTGTTGTCTCTGAAATTTTGACATCCAAGGCCCAGCTTCTGTGACCACCGTTTTGTGCCTCCTGATTTGTGGTCTGCATTGATATGCCAGTCACCTGTGTACTGTTTGTTCTAGTTATTGGCTTTGAAATTACTTTGCATTGAAATAATTAATCAAACTGATATATAAGCACCTACAGGGTATCCTTGTCTGCACATGTAAGATCCTATTTAAATTAAATCTTGTAAATGCATATTTACTTTCTGTGGATCACCTGTAAATGAAGATTTTAACAATAAATATAATTCTATTTTTAATGCTTTTTTATTGTGAACTGAATAAATTAAATAAAACTTCTGAAGTCTGAGATGTTTTGTGTGTTGGTCATGGAACTAGTGTCAGTCAATAAGTTAGAGTGGCCTTTTGCATCTCCTGCCAAGTTTTGGTGAACACAAAAATCGGGTTGAGATTTGGTCATGTCATCACTGTGCTGCTCACTGTTCCCCTTGCTGGAAGCTTTGCCATGAGGAATCAAAGCCCTGCTTCTACCAGTATGACCACAGGGAGACACAGCGCAAAACAAAGCATGGTAAGTCAGTAAAAAGGTAAAGATTATTTGTTGTAAGTCCACAGGCAATACTGGTGCCTAGTCCTTTGGGTCTGCTTCTTTTGGGCATAGCTGCCACAGTTCAGGTCCTGTTCAGAGAACAGGTCCAATAAATAAAAATGCTCCT